ATCAGAAGAGTGCAGGGAATTTAAAATTGGAACTAAGAGTTAGGTTGGCGAAGTGCTATGTTTTTTCGACTTTGTTTTATGGAATGGAATCTTGGACCTTGAATGCTACATCAATGAAAAAACCAGAATCATTCGAGCTGTGGGTGTATAGAAGAAATCTAAAAATATTGTGGACAGAACACGTCACAACAAGAGGTTCTAAGATGGATAAATAAAGAAATAGAAATTTTAAGTAAAATTAAAACAAGAAAATTGGAATATCTCGGACATATTACACGTGGAGAGAAGTACACCTTGCTCCAACTGATTATGCAGGGAAAGATCAAAGGAAAGAGAAGCATAGGAAGCCATAAAATGGCATTGCTGCTTGAGAGACTGGTACGGGTGTACATCAAAAGAACTTTTCAGAGGAGCCGTCTCAAAAGTCCGTATAGCTATGATGATTGCCAACCTCCGCCGCGGAGATGGCACTTGAAGAAGTTTAAAATATGTTTAAAAGTACCTTCCATTCTTCATCGAATAGAAATGTTGATTCTACAAGGCATACGTATTACTAGGGTTCAAGGTAAACCGTTTTTAAATAACATACTTTTTATGTTTTTCTCTTGCAAGGGTTGCTCTCTTTAATAATATCAGTCCAGATATACTTCCAGAAAGCCGCAAGACCTGGTCGTCGTAGGGAAGTTTAATGCTGGACATGGTAAGTGTGCACGACAAGGTGGAAGCTGTGTATAGCTCAACTCCGAGAAATATGCGATACCCAGGTGTAGCATATTTAAATATTCTCTCGAGAAGTGAGAATGCTGATGAAAATATAACTTGTTGCTAAGTTTTGAAACTTAGATCACTTAGCACTTGGTGATAACCGATTGACTCGTCTATGCAAATTCTTCTGATGGAAAGAATAAAATTAGGAACATTGTAAATTACAGTTGTAGATTGGAAATACGACTATCTACAGAACACTGATTAGACCCGTAGTAACCTATGGATGTGAAACTTGGGTAATGACGAAAAAAGATGAAGCCCAACTCAGGACATTCGAGAGAAAAATACTGAGGAATGTATATGGCCCGGTACAAGAGGAAGAAGGAACATGGAGAATATGGAGAAACGACGAGGTTAATAAGTTAAATGAAAGTTATGACATTGTAAGATTTGTGAAAAGTCAAAGACTGTCATGGCTGGGACATGTGCAGAGACAAAACGATGCAAAAATAACAAAGAAAATGTTACAGTGGAAACCCATAGGAAGGCCAAAAAAAAGGAAGGCCCAGAACGAGATGGTTGGATGACGTGGAAGACGACCTGAAAACAATGAACATAAGACAATGGAGAAGAAGGGCACAAGAGAGATCTGAATGGAAGGACATAGCCAAACAGGCAAAGACCCATCCAGGGTTATGATGCCAAAAGAAGAAGAAGATTGGAAAGATGTAGAATAATAAGACAAACTTCTCGTTCCAGGTTTCGGATGGTTTTGGACTTCTGAATCAAGCTGACAGATTAAACATATCAAATCCGGTCCAAAGAAGTACATATAACAATTTTGTGATTTTCACTTGGTTTTTCTGAGGGTCACTCTAAAGTGAAGTAACATCCACTCGATGAACATACAAATAAAACATTCGGGACCGTTTAGAAATACTTTTAAATTGCACCAATATTCCGTAAAATTCTATGGGAAGTGACGCGCTCGCTTTAAAAAATACGGTATCCAGATTATATTTGCCACCATATCATCCCGCGCACTTCTTGATTGCATAAAAAAGGAAGTATAATGTAAAAAGCGACAATAGAATTTTTCCGCACAGAAAACGGGTTTAACCAGTTGGTATGTACTTAAGAAAGACAATTTATACGCTTGTAAATGGATAATTTAATATTAAGAAAATTTAAGTATTACAAATGCACGGTAAACTATTCTTTTTGTCGAATTAGTAGGATGCAAAAGTATAATAACTGTATAATTGTTCCTAAGTGCCTAAACAATTATACAAAAAATCTTCTGAGGCTTGATTCCCATATTTCACCCTTAATTTATAGTTAACAAAAAACTACATAAATATGTTGACCACCTCTGGATTTGCAATTCCCAGATTGCATCAGTGACATCTCACCGCGCAAGCGCATCCGCCGAGATGTATTTCAGTGATAAAATGGTTGAGAAAGAGGAAAGATGCGTGATTAATTTGCTGAAAAAGCAGCAAAAGAAATCCTTGCCCATTACGACCCATCTTACGACGTAGCAAACAGATGACATCGCGAGTTTAAGTGTGGAAGAGAAATTGAAAATAAAAATGGCGGAGGTTCCTAAATCACTGTCTCAACCGAAGAAAATGTCCGAAAAGTTCACCATATAATTGTAAACGATCGAAGGGTCTATTTGTATAAAACTGTGGAGGAAGAGATTGCTGAGGCTGAGCTGTAGGCTACCAGCAGGGTCACGGGTGGCGAATAGTAGATGGCCTTCAGATATGAAGGTTCGTTGCGAATATATTGAATAAGCAATTCCCGACCAAGCAGCGACTATACTGAAGGGTGTAGTGGGTATGCCTTGGAAAAGCAAACCTCGTATAATGCTACAAAAGCCCAAGGAAAGTATTGTAACATGGTGAGTATTGCCGCCCTGAAATAAGCATAGCCTAACTCCCCCTTAATTTACCGAATGACTGCCGGAATACGCATCCCTCTCTTGTTAGTCAACAGCTTTGGGTGGACGAACTGAGAAGAGAATAAGGATCCCTCGTCTCTGGAATACGAAATTGTTTCAAAAGACAAATGAGCCTATAAACGGTTAACAGCATAGAGATATATGAGGCAACGGAAAACCCTATATTAAAGATCCCTAAGGATATTCCGAATTTATTGTGAAGATGATGATTTTTCCGAATAACCACAGATTCAATCTGCAAATCCGATATCGGACGGTAAACTGGTATATCCACTCTATTCTTCTTTATGGTGCCGAAGCTTGGACTGTTAATATTGAGTTAATGAGAAAACTGGAGGCTTTTGAGATGTGGATTTTTAGAAGAATTTTAAAAATACCATGGACCGTTCATATTACGAACGAAATGGTGTTGCACCGAATGGGAAGAGACAGAGAACTTTCGACCACCATTAAAAGAAAACATCATATTTGGGACACATACTTAGAAATGAGAAGTACGAGTTGTTGCAGCTGATGATGAAGGGCAAAATCGAAGGAAAAAGGGATCCTGGTAGACGACAAATATCCTGGCTGAAAATCATTCGGGACTGGACCGGGTTGAACACACAGAGGCTTTTCAGAAAAGCGGCAGATAGAGACGAATTTGCAATGGTTATAGCCAACTTTCATTAATGGAGTCGGTACTAGAAGAAGAAAAACGGATATTTCGATAACAATCGTTATGTCAAGCTATAGCGACGAAACAGCAGTTACTGCACATGGATTCGGATGATACGATAAAATAATTAAAATATGCACGTGGAATGTGCATGGCTATATCGAATACTTTAATTATCTTACATTAATAATCAAATTTGTTTTTTTGTATAACGGTTGTAGTATAATTATATTTGTTGAAGTATTATATAATAGCAAGAAAACTAAATAGGATACTTACTTGAAGTTCTTCCTGCAGCCACACCTCTTTATGTTCGGGAAGAGGAGTAATTTTTAGATGTAAGCTTTGCAAATGTTGCGTGTTCAACACTATCCGGCATTGCAAAGTTTCTGCTACTTTGAAATGAATCACTCCTGGTTCCGTATTTTGTATCGCAGTTAGCTAAAAAATATACATTATTAGGTTTAGTGGTAATAGATCAGTATGATTATTAAATTAATAGATGCGATGAAGTATCGAAGGTTTACCCCTTTTTACCCCATTTGTTATTACCTTTTATCCGTGACCTAATCTAGTTTGTCTTAAAAGCAATGTCTTGATGGGTCCTAGACGAGAAACGAGTGTCCATGTTTTATCCCTATCCTATCCTTAATAATAATTTTAATGCTTAAAATTTGTAAGGATACTTAAGTTTGAATTTTATATTATCTTTTTATATTGTACTACTCAATTTTTTTTTCTGGGTAGAATATTTTCAGTATCGTAATATATTAAGTATCGAAGGAATCGACACAATTCTTGAATATAACACCAAGAGGAAGTACACTACACTATGTAGCTATGAATATACACTACCTATGTAGCTTTGAAGTTTCAAGACTCTTAGAGAGTTTTCCTTCAGGGAAAAGAAAACGCATAATAAAATGAGAATATGAAGAAGACCAAAAATTCCAAAGTTTTCTTCTTTTAGTTGAATTGCCCTGTATAACAATTAATTATATTTATCAAAATATAAATCACCTTTATTCTTCTTAGGGTGCCTGTCCGTTCCGAACGTTGGCGATCATTCTGGCTATGATGATTTTATTGGTTGCTATACGAAATAGCTGTGTTGAGGTCTTTCTATACCATGCTCTCAGGTTAGCAAGCCAGGATATTCTTCTTCGTCCTGGGGCTCTTTTTCCTTCAATTTTACCCTGCGAAACGCATTGGAGTAGCTCGTATCTGCCTTGATTTCTCATTATATGTAACAAGTACTCTAGCTTACGGCTCTTCACAATGTTGAGCAAATCCGCGGTTGTGTTCATCCTCCGCAGTACTTTTTCATTGGTGACTTTGTCCATGGTATCTTCAGGATTCTTCTGTATAACCATAATTCAAAAGCCTGAAGTTTTAATAGAGTTTCCGCCTTCAATGTCCACGTTTCTACTCCATACAGAAGCACTGAGTACAAGTAACATTTAAGGAGCCTTATTTTTGTTTTCAGGGTGAGGTCATTAATCAAGACTCTCATACGTACTTGAAAATAAAAATATACCTCAATGACTGCGAACCAAAGTGTTTAATTCCTGTATCCTACCTGCACTTACATACGGAGCTCAAACTTGGACATTCACTAAAATAAACATGAGGAAGATCAGAAAAATTCAGAGAGCTATGAAACGACACATGCTGGGTATCTCACTCAAAGACCGTAAAACCAATAAAGACATTCGTAATAGAACAAAAGTAAAAGATGCCGTCGAACAGGCAGCTAAACTGAAATGGAAATGGGCTGGAGATAACGAACGTCTTAAGGATGGCCGATGGAATAAAGAAATCGGAAATTGGCGGCCATATAAAGCTAAAAGACTACGAGGAAGACCGCAAATGCGCTGGAGCGACAATATTAAAAAAACAGCAGGACCAATGTGGACGTGTTACAAACAACAGAGATGAATGGCGAGAATTAGGAGAGGCCTATATTCAGCAATCCGAATAGAGAGAAGGGCTTAAAGAAAGAAATGTTCGCACGACCCTGGCAGTATGCGTATGCGCATTGTCGTGCATTGATTGCAATCAGGTACCACCTTGTTGTTCAAAAAGGGTTCAACAATAGATTCGAGAATAATCGAAAAACCGTTCCAGACAAACGAGATTGGTTCTTCCACTAAGAGTGATGCCATACCATATCATTATACTGTCGCCTGACTGTCTATGAACCTCCTGCACGGTGGTCAGTCGTTCAGCATTGCCAGATCTTCTCCAATTTTTGTTCCTTCTTGTATCTGGTACAAATCCAAATCAATACTCATCTGTGAACAGATCTTTGGGCATTTAACCCTACTTCATGCAGTCTATTTCTAATGGTTTGACCACTTACAAACACCTGATGGGTAAAATAAAAAAACATCTCTTGCAGCCTAAGTGTAATTGTGATGCAGTTACAGTATGATCTCGCAAAGCCTGCAACCTAATAAACCGGTCTTTAATCTAGTTGCTTATCCTTATAAGGCCTCTATGACGTTCAGAAACATCACCAGTTTCTCGAACCTTAACCACAAACGAATAATGACAATTCTGTTCATGTGGAACAGAAGTGTCATTATCTCAGCAATGTCTCTTTGACTTCTGCTAACTTGAAACCAAAGAATATAGACGCTTATAGAACAGTTCAAATGGGCGATTTGGTTACGGTTTATACTTTATACTTTAAAACACATCTGGCAGTCAGTCGGCTTAAAACTATCATAAAAGATGTAGTTAGGGGAAAGTGGGAAAGGAGTACGAACGGAGCTATTTATTTAATTTTGCATATACGATTAAAAAAATTCCCATGCTTTTTTTGGTTTTTGCACAATAAAATCTTTATTTTTAATACATTAAATTGTTAAATTTTCAATTTTGAAATTTAAAAAGGTATGATATTTACAATATTCAAAGCATTTATTTTTTACAGTTTATAACTTTGAATTAAAAATAGGTTTGTTCCAACACAACGAAAAACCGCCACATAAATTTTTATTATACTGTTTTTCTGCCCAAAAATTACCGAAATATTTTTTTAAAATTTCAAAATTTTTCAACCAAAAATTTAATTTTCCACTTTTTAGACAATTTTTCATTATTCTGCAGAAAAACAGTGTTGTGTTTTACATTTTATGTTATTTTATATTAAAACCACAGAAGAAGAAATTATTAAATTTAGAAAATTTGGAAATATTTAATTCCGGTGATTGATGACTTTATTGATTGAATTAATTTTATTTATAGTTAATAAGAAGAGAGTTTTAAGTATATTATTTGCAGATTTGTACATATTTAAATTAAAAATTTGAATCATAATATTTTTTCTAATAGGATTCATTTATTAAAAGTTAAAATATTATTTTCTTTAAAAAATGTTATAAAACGCAAAAATTTAATCCTATTCTACGGCCACGCGGCATCTACATAAAAATATCTGTTGCATTTGTTGCACCACTCTTTCATATTTTAAAAGCAATAATAGCGCCGACATGACCGCTTCCTACTGGTACTAAAATCTCGATCCACCCTCTCATTCTTTTTCATAACGTGCGATCATCTTTTGCCAAGTTTCAAAAATAACAGTGAAAGATTCTTCTATAAGCGTCTATATTCTTTGTTGAAACATCCCAATAGCACGCCACTCTGTTTCGCAATTTAAATGTCTCTTCATTATTGGAAATTGCAAAACTAACTAAAAATTCACATAGACATCTAAAATCAAGTACCAATAAAGATTTATTACTTTTTATCTTATAGACAAAAAACGCATATTGAATTTTTTAAAAATTTGTTGAACACATTCTTATCGGCATTACCGTATAAGTTGGTACAATAATCGACAAAACAACAACATTTATTTAATGATATTAATAAAGGTGTGCCCTAGATTATTTTGATGTGTGTAAATATCATCCGGAACGGATAGGTACCATAAGAAGATAGATGATTTCAGTTTAAAAAATATTTGAAACCAGCAAATATCAGGGCATCACCGACTAGTACTTAAAATGTTTTATGAGATCAACAAAGCTCTTATCTTATCTTCTATGTGTATGAAATATAAGCAAGTAAATGGCTAGGATCGAGAATGATATTTTAAAATACTAAAACTAGTAGAAAAAAAAATCAGATTTTGTGAAGCACTTCAAAAAATTTACTGCATGTCTTACAAATTGACAGAGGATCTGCCTAGCACAATTTTTTAGAACAAATAGAACTACTGTACGAACCAACAACTGATAAAGGGATTAAGTACCAATAAAAGCAGGACGTTATTAAATCGTATATGCCATAGTAGGATTTATCATTGTTTAAGTATGTAACTCACCTTTATATACAAATGATTTAATTAAAGCAAAAATTAGATGTAAAAAAATCTCCTTTTAATTCTAGAAAATTATAAAAATTTATACTTACATAGTTTTCTGTATGAATATAACGATGCAACTGCCTGCGCATATACACGCACCCCAAGAATCTCTCCAAAGGCGCTAATTCAGGTACAGGAAGTCCCTGTGGATGCATCGAAGGACAGCATAATATTTCTAAGGCTTCATGCGTCAATAATGTCGGTACCGCCCCAGCCCAAGACCTCTGAGGAAGTACCCTCGACAGATGACTACCAGTTTTGAGATCCGATGACTGTTGCGGACTGTGCATTAATGAGTGTCCACCAGGAGATTGGCCAGGTCTAGCCGGGGAAGGTCGTGGCATACCAGGAGAACCTGGCCAATTCGTCGAAGCTGCAGGCGATGAGAGACTTTGTGAAGGAAACGGACTACCGTCGGTGTGGCCGGTAGGCATAAAACTACTTACAGGTGAATGCCCTGGTAGATTAGTACTCTGTGGTCCAGGTGAAGAATTACTTAACAGTCCCCCGGGACTAGCCAACTGGGGATTTAAAGGAGAGTTGGCGACTAAACCTCCTGGACTAGGGTGAGGCATGGGGCTTGGATTTATATTCGGCTGTAGCGATGTGGGAGATGCTAAGTTAAATGAGGTAGCTGGGCTCGAACCAAAACTAGTGTGGGTAGTTGGTTGATTCATAGATGTGTGGGGACTAGCGGGTGTGTGAGGATTGGAACCTGATGGAGGCGTCAAAGGTGGGTGAAAACGGAGACCCGGTTCTCTTTGACCGGCTGGAGACTGAGGACCTCGATGATGACCTAAAACAAATATATTTTAACATAGCATTATGACTAAACAAAAAAGATACCAAATATCGATTTATGATATATTTGGATTCATGTAATCAGAAGAAAAAAAATATTGGATTTGTTCTAAAGAAGAAAAAAACTAAAGATGTGGAGTATTAGATACAATAAAATGTTATTCAATGAGAAGATATGTATAACAAATCGTAAACATTTAAAAAATAAATACTATTGCTTAAAAATTCTTACCTAAGAACCCACTACCTTCCACTTCCATCGGCGACGGAGGGTTGTCATCCTCAGATTGAGATCTTCTTCTAAATACTGCTGTTTCGTCGACATATTTCGATAAAAATGTTTTCAGACCCTGAGTAGGAGAGAACACATCGACAACGTTGCTTCTATCAAATCTACTGTAGGCTCCATCTCGCAGGGAAACCAAACCGGATCCTCTAATTCGCAACTCCAAGCAGTACATGCCTTGATAAGCTAGACGCAGAAGGGTGCACGATTGTGCCATTATGGTGAATGTTTGTACAGGTACTTGTGGTCTTGAATTATGTATTCCTAACTGAGGAATTGTCGGCAACTTACTTATAGACAATAAAGGCTCATAAGTCTCGTGTAACAATTGAATAACCTGCGCCAAATTCCTATGTTCGTTTAGATGAGATTCTAGTTGTTCCTGGATCATAGAGTGAGCATTTAGAGCGCTGTTCGTGGCTCCAAAGGCTAACTTAAACATTTTTTCTGAACTCATCCATGTGATGGAAACCATAGCTCCTTTGTCCGAGCCATAACAAAGAATCAGTTTGGTGTAATTGTAGGATTTGATACAGAACATGTTGGCTAAAAAACTATACTTGTCTATCTTTAAATATTCGCTTAAATCATGTACGAGTGTATATAAATGTACTATTTGATTCCAATCGTTAATAAGGGCATCTGCAGTTTTTGACGTGTTGTCTACGGTGGTCATTTCATATTGGAAATATATTGGTCGTCTTGATCCTAAAATTTTGGAAATAAAAATCATTGCTCTTATACTATATCAATGGTACATCACGTAATGATATTAAAGAGATATTTCATCTACTTACCTTGTTCTTTAGGATGCGTACTAGATAACGGAGTAGAATAAAAAACAAATTCAACCATCCAACTCTTAAGAACTCCTTTACTCAAAACTCTCATCGAAACAGAAAGCAGCCGTTTCATAAGAGCATTCCAGGCCGAAGACGTTCCAATTTCCTTAGTAGGAGCAGGTAACTGTATCAGTTTTAACACCAAACCAGTAGCATTCGATTCTACTTGTAAACCTTGATGGAAAACATTTCTCTTGGTTAACTATAACATGAAAAGGATAAGTTTATGAATATAAACACTTAACAAACATGAAGACATAAATAGTATTACTTTATTTAATGAACATGCTGCACACAATCAGTGCAGCGCAATCTAATCGAGTAGAATGGATGAGGATGGTAGAATTTTTAAAGAGGCCACCTTGATGACAACCATAGGAAGAGACAAAACCAGTAGTGAAACAGTGTGGGTTGAATGCTTGCGGGGTAATCACTTAACCCCACAAGCAGAGTCTCTACTATGAGTTGCTTATTATGCGGATTATGGGTCTCCTGGCATGTTGGGTCCAGTCGGAAATAACCATCCTCTCCTAGCTTCTCGTGGGATAAAAATGGGCCAGAAACAAATGAAAAATGGTCAGGATATTTTGCACTGGCAGAGTAA